TCATTTATGAATGAAATTTCATCGTATGTATGTATATATAGGAAAAGAACATAGTATATGTAGAGTTTGGTACTCTCCTCGGTTTCAGGCATCCACTGGGGGTCTTGGAATGTATCCCGCGCAGACACAGAGAACCATTATAGTCAACACGCAATAGTTGTGAATTATGATACAGTGATGTGATGTAGGCTGTAAAAATTAAAAATTAAGACTTAATATAAGAGAAAAAATTAATCTGAATGTCAGCAGAACTAGATTCTAAGTCAGCCTCTGCTCTGATTAGCTGACTGGCAAGCCCCATTCTCTTTCTGGGCAACTCATGGCAAACCTAGAGAAGGGCTGGAACAGGGTTTCACAAGCTTGGACTTCTTGACACTTTAGGCTGGCTTATTCTGTGTTGTGGGGGAGCTGTCCTGTTAATTGTTCTTTTGTTGCCATTGTTGTTTAGTTAAAAATATTTGTTATAGAAATGTACATTTAATTAAAGAATGTACTTGTCAATAGTGTTAACATACATATTTTCTCAAATTTGTGAACTTCGACCTTTAAAATATCTACAATGAGAGCTTATTTACAAGTTTTGCAAGAAATGGTTACTTCAGCAGTACTGTTGACACAGTTAAGATTCTCATGGTTTCGGGGCGCCTGGGTGGCGCAGTCGGTTAAGCGTCCGACTTCAGCCAGGTCACGATCTCGCGGTCCGTGAGTTCGGGCCCCGCGTCGGGCTCTGGGCTGATGGCTCGGAGCCTGGAGCCTGTTTCCGATTCTGTGTCTCCCTCTCTCTCTGCCCCTCCCCCGTTCATGCTCTGTCTCTCTCTGTCCCAAAAATAAATAAACGTTGAAAAAAAAAAAAAAATTAAAAAAAAAAAAAAAAAAAGATTCTCATGGTTTCTTTCTGTTTCACCCAGTACTTCTAGAAAGAGCACAGTGCAGGGGTCAGGCTCCACCCTAGGACCAGTGACAGGCAGCCTGTGGAACAGAATAAGTGCCAATGGATAATGGAGAATTACTGTGTTTTCCCAAAATGGCAGTGCATCCTATCCTGGAAAGACTACATAGGTACAGTAGCTAATTGCAATCAACCATAAGACATTTTCAACTAAGTATCCATTAAATGTGTCTGTTAGGATAACACGTTGATGAAAAATAAGCAGATAAAATGCAGAATGACTAGTAGGAGACAAAAAGCATTCGGAGGCACATCAAGCATGGTCTCATGCCATATCAGAGGCATCTCTGATCCCTACCCAGCTGACAATGCAACACTCTCCTTTCTGGTTTTGATACCTAACAACGTCTCTAGACATGATCAGATGTCTTCCAAGGTGTGGGGAAGCAAAATCACCCCTACTTAAGAATCACTAGATTATGTGACTTCTCCAACTCCCAAACTCAAGAAATCTTGATGGGAAAAGTAGGTAATCAGCAGAACACTTAATTCACCTTTAAAAGGCACAGAAATTCACCTAGCTAGAATGCACAAGTCATTGCAATCAGAATATAAGAGTCAACGATGTGCTGTCTTAAGTGTTAACATTGGTGGGGAAAGACAGGTTTGGACAGGCGAGACTAGAGTTTCAGTGACATCACTGTAACAATCCAGAAGTTGTCCAGGCATAACAGAATCCACGGGAAAAGATATAGCATGTATGGCAGAAGACACTGAAATGACAGTGAAGAAAAGCACTTTGCAAGATGCTCAAGAGAGCAGGGTTGGGGCGCCTGGGTGGCGCAGTCGGTTAAGCGTCCGACTTCAGCCAGGTCACGATCTCGCGGTCCGGGAGTTCGAGCCCCGCGTCGGGCTCTGGGCTGATGGCTCAGAGCCTGGAGCCTGTTTCCGATTCTGTGTCTCCCTCTCTCTCTGCCCCTTGCCCATTCATGCTCTGTCTCTCTCTGTCCCAAAAATAAATAAACGTTGAAAAAAAAAAAATTAAAAAAAAAAAAAAAAAAAAAAAAAAAAAAAAAAAAAAAAAAAAAAAAAAAAAAAAAAGAGAGCAGGGTTGACAAGGATAAGGCACAATCCTAATTTGAAGAGCAGGAAAACAGACAAATGGTGGTCAAAGAGGCAATGAGCATGAACATGTCATGCTGTCCTGGGAGGCAGGAGCCTTGGCTTTCAGCCTGGCAACCTTCACCTTGCTCTGAATTACTTGGGTAAGACAATCATGATTTGGGGGTTGGACCCAATTAAACTGGAGTCACCACTGGGCCTTTTGTGTGCTGCCAGTTATCTCTAAACCCTTTAGGGCAGACACCAAATCAGGCTCCTGTCTTGTTCCTGTGAACCATCATTTCTTAGTACATGAAACTGATCAATGATGTTAGTCGAGAAAGTTTGAAGGAAACTTTTTGAAAGCAGGATATACGTTACATGTCACCAGAAACAAAGTGTTGAAGAAGGAGCAGTGAAAGGTCTGTTACCAGGTAAGAAACAGGATGTTGGGAGAGAAGGGATCATTTTCAACCCGAGTTGACAGTGAGGCCTTGTGCTAGTGCTGTGACCAGCTGCAGGGAGAAGCAGTGGCTGGAATCCATGCAAAGGGCTGGGGCAGGAAAGACTCCATAGTGCCTGGATCAGGGAGCCAGTGGCATGGGGGATGGGCCAGACACGGAAGACATAAGGGATGCACATGGCTGGGGCAGAACCAGAAATCTGCTGTTGTCTTGATCAGGCGAAGTTCTCTGATAACCTTTGCCCCAGCCTTTATCAGGCCTCTGGAGACCTCCCCTTCAGAAGGTGAACAAAGTTGCTTATCAGGGGGAGTCCTATGATAAAATATTACGTAAGGTAAATATCATTTCCTTTAGTAACCTGATCCTCAGTCCATGGGTAAGCAGTGTGAGGGTTTGAATCACAGCTCTGTGACCTGTAGTTCAAAACACACATAGCATGAGCGCTATTCTTTTCATTCTGCTGAGTCATAGTACCTCTATTCCCTGTGGTAAAAAAGTACAATAAACAAAATCTCTAATTACAGATGACTTGAGTAACTATGTTTCCAAATGGTTCTTTACTTTCTAAAGATTTGACTGTTGAGTCCCAAATGAAAAATGTGGACATGAAAAACATTTTGATATCTAAAATTCTAAAATTCAAGTCACACAGTTTTTCAAAGATGTATACACTGGGTAAGGGAGGTATATTTTTGTCCCAAACTCCACAACAAAATTTTGCAAGACAATCTTAACGTTTTGCAAACAGAGCTTGGGATTTGCATAGAAAAGGCAACTGTTCCTCCTTAAGACCTGCCTTGGGGACTTCACCTTTTAATGAGTCCTGTGTGTTTCCATTCACACCTATGATAGCACATCCATTGTTTGAGCCACTGAGTTTTATTATCTGGTTCCCTGCTTTGTTCACTTTCCACCCAGCCTGGGATGGACCAAGGGCTTTCAAACTTCATTGACCAGACACAAAGTATCACAAAGTACCATTATACTGATCAAATGAGTGTGTACTCATGCACAGGCCCCTATACACAACAAACACATAATTGAAGCTAAGGCCTCATGAAACAAAGTTTGTGTTTCTACATGAATGCACTCTGATATTTTCTATTTTCTCCTACTTCATTTTAAAAATTAGTAGATTTCACAATCCACTGAAGGATTGTCACACATTTTTTAAAAACACCAGTGTAGAAAATAAAGCCTTTGTCTTTGAGTTAGAGGTAGGTTTGAGTCCCAACTTCACCACTTACTTTGGGCAAGTTACTCAAGAAACCTCAGTATCCTCAACTTTAAAATGACACTAATAACAGAATGTATCTCAGGTGATTTTTGTAGGATTAATTGAAGATAAATAGGCGAGAATACCCATTGTATGATAGACATTGAAGAAATGTTAGTTCTGTTCCATTGACTGTAATGTTAATAAGGTAATATCCCATTTTTCAGATTATAAAGTGCACCAAGTAAAGGCAGAATGTAGAATAAAAAAAAAAAAAGGAAGGAAATCGAAGGGAATCGAAGGAAATTAGCAATTAGCATCCTGTGTCTATGGAAAGAACCAGGGTCGGGGCGCCTGGGTGGCTCAGTTGGTTAAGCCTCCGACTTCGGCTCAGGTCATGATCTTGCGGTTCGTTGAGTCCAAGCCCCGTGTCAGGCTCTGTGCTGACAGCTCAGAGTCTGGGGCCTGCTTCGCATTCTGTGTTTCCTTCTCTGCCTCACCCCCCCCCGCTATGCTCTGTCTCTCTCTGTCTCAAAAATAAATAAAACATTAAAAAAAAATTTTTTTTTTTAAAAAGAACCAGGGTCTTTTGAGCTGCAGTTAAGCGAGTCTTAGTCCTAACTTTGTTTTAAACAAAAGCAGCATAACAGTCAGGAGTGGAAGCCTGACTCTGCTCCTCATCCTGGTCTTGTCAGAGATGTCCTCTGCTTTCAGTGTCCCTCATAGGCTCCCAGCGCCAGCACTGGAGTGGATTCCAAGCCTGCTCTCTTTTTAGTCCTAGGTGTGGATTTCCATGTCCATCACTAACTAGAGAAGACTATGGACAAGCCTTTTCACCTCTGAGCCTTGGTTTCATTAACTGAAAAATGGGTCTGATAACAAATAGTTCATGGGGCCATTATGATGATTGAAGGTATAATGTATCCAAAAGGACTGGCATTGGGTCAGGATCATTAGCAGAGTTTCAACAAATCACAATTCTCTAATCCTTCTCCCTCCTCCTTACACCCACACCTGCATCCTTACCACACACTCTCACCTATTAGCCTGCCAAGAGAATCAGACTTTACCTAGTGGAGGTAACAAGCAGGGTTTGGAAGAGTTTCCCAGGACTGGCTAATGATGTATGAGAATTGGGCCTTGAAAGACATTCTAGGGTCTCTTCTAATTCTTCCATGAGGAAGGCAGGTACTCCTTAAGCACTGTTGGTGCTATTTGACCAACATCAAAAAGTATGTTTTTGCTTCTGTGATATCGCTCATCTGTTCATTCATTCATTCATTCATTCGTTTGTTGTTTCATTCATATTTAGAGACATTCAGAGTCTATCATGGCAGGGAAGCCCAAGCTTCACTACTTTAATGGACGTGGCAGAATGGAGTCCATCCGGTGGCTCCTGGCTTCAGCCGGAGTAGAGGTTAGATTTGAGTTTTGTCATCCTAAGTTAGACCAAAAATTGACTCTATCAGAATACGTTTCTCACATAAGCTAGGAGATTCTTCTACTTCTATAAATGACCTGTCAAGAGTTTTATGTTAAAAGAAAAATTGTCAGCTATTAAGAGATGAACAGATTTCACCTAATATATTATTAAATTTCTTCTCATCAAAGAACTTAAACTCAGAAGCTAAGCATAATGTGTAAGCCTTATCTGGATTTTGATTTAAGCAATCTACAAAATATCATTTTTGACATTTGTGCAATAATTAGAAACATGAATCTTTTTCAAATATCAGATGATTTTAAAGAAGCATCCTTGATATTTTAGATATGCTAATTCACTGTTTCTGCTTTCCAGTTTGAAGAGAAATTTATAGAAACTCCAGAAGACTTGGATAAGTTAAAGAATGGTAAGACCAAGTATCTAATTTCTCAGATGAGGGGATCAGGTAGAAGTTATAAGTTAGGGTTTGAACACCTACTTGTGAGTGTGGTGGGAGCTGGGGGTGGTGGAATGGAAGAGGAGTGGCTCCAAGGTAAGGGGCGGGGCTCCTT